TTTTATGTAGTTATTCTCAACCGACCTCTTTAAAAGCTTCCAGAGGATTTAGATCGGAAAATTTAGAAAATTGCACAATTAAACCGTTGTATTCCAATCGCCTTTTTGGGATGAGACTGAAGTGGAATTTTGGTTGGAACTCTAATAGTGATCGAAAAATAAATTAGACTTTTGTAAAATAACTTTATTCCGTTAAATATATCCTCTCCTACGTTATATTATCGACGAATAAAAAGTTCGCTTATTATTTATTCATGCAATTAAAAAAAAGTAATTTCTTTAAAGTAACATGTTAAAAGAATAAAGATTGTTCGATTTGATGATTTTTTTCCTCAGAATTTTAAATAAATCTTAAAATAAGTAAATACTAATATTACAATAACACTATAATAGTTAATAATAATATAAAATTAGCTACGTAAGCGAAATTGTACCTTTGGATTTTTCTTTCGTTTGAAATATTTAACAGAGTAAACAACTTATGTAATGTAGAAGAGGTATCGACAAGTATAAAATATTGTTAGAAAGACTACAACAATAAAAAGATTGGCCTTTTTGAAAGACTCCAACAATAAAAAGATTGGTCTTGTATGTTAATTTGGTATAGTAACGGAATTTAGTAAATTTTAATTCAATTAAATTAATTCCCAGATTTCAAACTGGAGTAAACAGCTACAATTAATTAGTAATCTTTTGTCCTGTAAGTAAACAAAATTCTGGGTCTAGAAAGTTAATGAAATGAACAATTAAATTAGTAATTGCATTCTTAATAGAATCAAGTTAAATTTTGAAATAGTGTATGTTACTTTCGTAACAACTATATTTTATTTAATTAGATTTTATAAAAATTGCATTGCTACGTTAATGATTGGATTCTTAATAGAATCAGATTAAACTTTAAAGAAATAAATATCTTCTTTATTTTTTTACAGTATTTTTTTCTATTAGACTTTACGAAAGTTACATTACTATATTTTACAGTATATAAGACCGTAATTATAACTCCTAAATGGTGGAAAAACAATAACTGATAAAATGTATCAATCCATCAAATAAATATTTATCAATGTTCTATAATTATATTCTCTTGGGCTTCACTGGTTATTTCACTCGTGCCTCATGTTGTTAGAAACAGCTTATTGTGCTGCGATTTCATTGGTTAGAAATCACGCTTGATACTAACACAATCGTGATATGTGTTGCTATGATAGTAATAATAAAGCGAATACTATACTCTACAAAAATGTATCAATACAAGTAAAAAATGTCTTCATGCATTTTATATTTTACAAACGAAAAAGAAATTTGCAAAACGATTGTCTTCTGCGATGAAAATAATTCTTGCTTGTTTAATAGAATAAGATAAACATTTTTATAATAATTAAATAGAAATTTTTTAAATTTTAATTAACAGTTAAAAATAATCTTTAATAAATTCATTAATACTAGAACTATTGATGATTAAAGTACAAAATTTATTTAAAGTTAAAATTAAAATTGCAGTAAAAAAAATTACGATACAACGAAGAACACAAGCCTGTATTTGTATCTTTTTAGAAAAATCTTTAAAAATGCACTGTTATAAATCTGTAAAAAAGATTCCCTATAAAAAAATTTCCAGTCGATTATTTTGACTATCCTGCTAGTTGCCGTGTTAAAAATATAAAACTGGACAGATTTTTGAAACAATTTATAATTTCATATGAATTGAATATTGAATGTTGAATACATATAATTACAATATCATATGATACAATGGCTTTGGTAATTATTTCTAATGTTTTATGTACTGCATATTTTCCGACTTGTCGAACATTTCATTTATTATAAAAAGTTATTATTATCACAAATGCACAATCTTATTTTGAGATATTCCAATTTTAATGAATATTTAATCATATGTTTATGTATTATTACATAAGATACATATTCGTCATAATTAAGAGTATTATATGTTTATTTATTTACAATAGTAACATAATAGTGCAAAGAAGAAGAAAAATTAATGCTGTAAAATTAGGGGAATAAAGATGTGTTTCGATGCTGTAAGCTTCTTCATTTATTCACCTATTAAAAGTATGATTCGTACAATTCTGAAAACTAAATAGCTTTTTCCTATACAAAATTTACACACGGAATATGGAATAATATAATAATATAATGATAAATACGATTATTTGAAATACGGATTAACGAAGAAACTTTTTATATTAAAGAGTATTTGATCTTTTCTGGAATCTTAAGTAACAATATAAGACATCTCTTTTATTAGGTTTGCATTTCATGAAAATTTAGTAAAGGACGAATTTAAAATATTTAATTTGTATTATATGTATAATTTTAATGCATAATGCATACACACACGCACACAAGTTATGTCCATTAGAATTATATTAATTCTAATTTGCGCACGTATATATATTTTATTCCATTCAAAATTTTATACATTCTAGACAAAAAAGTTGTTCTTAATGAGATATTCAAGAACCGATTTCGAATGAACTTTAAGGAAAAATGCGTTAAAATGGTAGCGTGTTTCGAAAGTTTCGTCTTTAAAAACTAACTTTTAAAATCCGATTCCAACAAGAGACAAAGTCTTCTGACGGATAAATCTTAGGACTTTAATAAGTTTTGAACTCATGAACAGCTGCGACGAAGCTTTCGCAAGAATATCAGTCCATTAAAGTGCTACATAATGGTGCCTTTTCACGAGTGATTATTTAGTTTCTAAAGAAATGCATCGAAAGTAAGAAGGTTAAAATATTCTTTCTTAAACCTTTTACCATTAAAGAAAAGTGTTTTAGAAATATAAAGACATTAGCGTATTTTGATACGATCATTATGTCAATTCTCGAAACTTCTATATAACAATACTCGAAATACAATTTAAAACAGGCACAAATGATCAGCAGTAAAAAGAAAAATAATTTCGAACAAAATTATTAATTTAATTAATTAAGTTCAAATATAGTTATTAACACATTTGTGATATTGAAAAGAAAAAAAAGATGAATGCGTAGAGAGAAAGAGAAAAGAAGTGGTGGAAGAACAATAAAAGTATTCTTAATTCATTATTTCTTTTTTTTTTTTTTT